TTCCTGCTGTCAAGTCACTAAAATACCCAGTCACTAATGGTAGTGAAGGGGTAAGGGTATTCAATGCACACATGAAGAATTCGTAGTTTAAAAGAATATTTGAGCAGCTTGCCACATGCAGCTTCCTTTTTGTGTGTCCCCATCTGGGAGCAGAGCAGCAGAGTGTATGGTGCCTAAACCCTCGGGCCCTGTAACCACCCTGCCTAACATTGGTCCAGGTCTGCCTCCTAGTGGCTACTAATGACCTGTTTAGTTTCCTCACCTAGCGAGTGAGAATAGTAATCATACCTACCTCATATGACCTGTTTGTGAAATAAGTAAAAAGTTAGGTAGAAAAAGACTTAAAAGTAGAAATATTTCAGCAAATTCAGAGCCTCCCCACCCGCACCCTCACCCTGTGTTAAATGTGCGGGTTCCATCGGGGCCGACTCCAGTCGAGGGGGGGTGATAACGTCATCTTCCGACGTCTAAAGAAGACCAGAGTGGTGTGGTTTTTTGAAAATTTATACATAAATGAATATTTTATTATAATTAAAGACATTAATTTAGATGTATTATGAATAGTTTGTGGGTTTTTATCCTTTTTCTTTTACAAATATACACAGTCATAGTTACAGATGAAATTATACAGTATCTTTTGTTTGACTCAAAACAATACAGGAATGGATCTGCTCTCACCACTCCTATTCAACATTGTGTTGATGGTGCTAAGTTAAAGAGAATCTAAATAAATGAAGAGAGATACCATGTTAGTGCGTTGAAAAACTTGATTTGTGGGACTTCCCTGGTGGTTCAGTGGTAAAGCATCCGCCTTCCAATGCGGGGGACATGGGTTTGATCCCTGCAGAGTGGTGGTGTTAATTGTCGCTTGTTATGTCTGTTAAATTATAATAAGAATTTTCTTTTTTTATTTCTACCAAGCCAAACTAGCAAGACGCAGTCAAGAACGAGACAATCTTGGCATGCTGGTCTGGTCACCTAATCAGAATCTATCAGAAGCAAAATGTAAGTTTTAGAGCACTTTTATTTTCCACCTTTCTTATTTACTGCAAACTTTTAAAGTTACCTCTGTAGGTAAAAATCTCTCTATATATTACATTTATTTTACATTTTTAAAGTAAAATTTTGAAGAATTTGAAAGTGTGTTCTTTATTGTGGCCTGTCATAGTGATTTAAAGATTCTTAAGCTGTGGTTTCATAATCTACTTTTTATTCAAAATGCTGTACCACCTAATATTCTGAAGTAACTAGGAGGAAGGGTTCAGAGCGGAAAGAAAATTATAATGTTGTGTATAACTCCTTCAGCTGGGAATTTATAGATTTATTGATATAAAGATGAAGAGTTTAACAAATCTCTAATTGGAAGGATTACAAAGGGCAAATGTATGTTACTGGAAAAAGGTTTTATACTGTAAGACTTCATCCTAGCTAGAAGTAGAACTTTTGAATTGGCTCTTTGTTTTGTGTTTACATTTTTGTTAGAATGAATATTCTGAGCTACTTTGGGTTTTCTTTTGGGGGAGCCGGTAGGGGTCCTAGAGCTATTAGAAAGATTAATTGTATTTTCAGAGTTTGCCTCTTCAGTTTTCTGTCCCCTCTGCTCAGGTGATACCGTCGTGCAGGAATAATTTAATATTTGATATATTGCCGTAATAAGTCTTTGCCATTTTCAAAGTTTTTGTTTTCTTTATAACTTTAAAGAGAGAAGAAAAAATAAATTCCCCCTTTTGAGAATTTTTCAGTGGTGGGGGTGGGTGGTCCATGGATGGAATTTACGGAGATTTGTGAACTCGAGAATCACAGGCAAAATTTTTTTGGTGTATGTACGTTTTCCTGCAGAAAATTGGATTTTTAAAGGGCTCTTTGACAAAAATAGGATAAGAATCAATGCTCTAAAATGTGGTAGGGCTTAGAAAGCCCTCAGTGGTAAATGTTGGCCAGGAAACATAAGTTGTGAATAAAGGCTGGAACTCTCAGGCTTTGATCAGGATTTTCCAGATTGTGTTTTGCAGTATTAAAGTAGGTGTTAACAGGTTTCCACTGTCAAGTAAGTGTTAGAGATGATGCATATTAAATATCCTCCTCTTGTATATTTAACATTCATGTTTGCACTAAGGTGCAAAGAGTTCGGATGGTCAAGAAATGTTTGATTTTGACCAAGAAGGACCCTTTTTAAAAATACAGTACCTTCCATGGAACACAGGAAATTCAACTACTCTTAGTAATGCTTAATTTAGCAAGAATAAAATAATCTCAGTCTAATCTGATTTTCATAGTATCTTAATTTGCCAGCCTGTTGCTTGATGAGTTTATAATGGAGAACAGAATAGCAAAAGGAAGTATATTGGCAATTCTGATGCCTTTACTGTGCCGGGGAAGACCTTTTAAGTATTTCCTGTTTGTTTTTTCCCTTTGAGGATTTGCACTTAAAAAAGCAATCTATTCCATTTTTGAACATGTTGTTCCTTCTAACAGCTGAAAATTTGCATCTGTGTAATTTTTAAAGCTTTGTTTTCCTGAACTCTGTTAAATAAATCGGCTTCCTTATGAGTCTTTTAGGTGTTCAGTTCTCCTACCTTCTTTGTTGTCCCAGTTCAAATTAAACCTGCCTGGTTGCCTCAAGTGTTTTCAGATGGTCTGATTTGGGGCTCTTTTTCGTCTCTGTTGTACTCCTGGATAGATTCCGTTTGGTCATGGTGCCCATCTTCAATTATGGTGCCTGGAACTGAATATTAAAAATAGTGAGCACTGTTGAGCACTGTACTAAATCCTATATCATTCAGTCTTTACTGTAAACCAAGAAGACGTTTTTGTCCCCATTTTACAGGTGGCATTCCACAATTCAAAGAGGTTGTAAAACTAACACAAAGAGTCAGTGGTGGAGCCAGTAGTATCCAGGTTTGCTGACTCTTCACCCTGGCTTATGCTCTAAACGTGTCCCTCAGGTCGAGTTCGTCAGGTCTCAGTCCTCTCTTCATTTCAGTCACTTCCTGCTGTTATTACAGTGAAGATTGTATTAGTACCTCTTGCTGTTATTGTGTTACCTTTGGAATCTTGGGAGTCAGATTTTAATTTTAATATTATTTTATCTTTCGTAGACCTGCAAGAAAAGAACAGAATATGAAAAGTTAATAGATTTTTAAGCAATGGTATTACCTAAAATAAATTTGCAGTTTTAATGTAAGTCCTGACAGTATTGATTAACACTTTAAACTCTTTAAACCAATCTAAAAGTAACATTTATATATTGTTGAAAGTTCAGAAGGCACAGAAAAATATAAAGAAGAAACAGTTCACCCATTATTTCATTACCCAGAGATAACTGTTAAACATTTTGGATGTTTTCCCAATCCCTTTTTTTCCTCTGCATATTTTTATAAGTGAGATGTTGGTATTTCTATGTATGTGAGTGTGTATTGTCTTCCTGAACAATGACCTAAGCATTCGTTACCTTGCTAAACCCCTTGTAAATATTTAAAATAATGTTTAATATTTTATCATATGGATGTATCAGTGTATTTAAGCATTCTTCTATTGAAAATTTAGGTTGTTTCTAATTGTTGCTATTGTAAAAGAAGGCGGTGGTGAAAAGCAGAATCAGAGCTTTGTTCTCTTTTGTTGTTATTGTTGTGTTTTTAGTATTTTCTTAAGATACATCCCTTGGAATGGAATTGTGGATCGATGAGAGTTTGCTTAACTGCTCCAGTGTGAGGATGTGAACACAGTTGTTGATGTGAGTTAGGTTCCATTTGTGGAGCTTTGGGAATCATATTCTTTGACGAGTAGTCTAATCGTAGTTATGCCTTGAAATGTAGCCATAGTGTCACTGGGGACAAGTATACATAATTTGTTCTCTTTGCCATCTATCATTTCCCCCTCAGCTTCTCTCCCTCCCAGTACATAGACAAAAAAGAAGTATTTTCTACTTGCCTTTCTAATTTATTTTGAAAGAATGTGGAAGTCTTGGTTGTCCAACAATTGATTCTGACTTGTAGAAATAGGAGATTTGGGACACCTGTAGACTTCTAGTAGATGTCCCCATGTGTAAGGATGTCTGTAGATCCCTGGCTTTTCCTGGGTTGGTTTCTTTCCTCTCAAGTAAATGTTTAGAGTTCTGCCTCTTAGGGTTACTGCAAGTTTACAAAATTATTTTGTGGTTATAGAAATAAATACTGTTGTAGAAATTTCAAACAATATAGAATGTATAATGTACATAATTAAAGAAAGCCCTCTTGGGACTTCCCTGGTGGCGCAGTGGTTAAGAATCCGCCTGCCAACGCAGGGGACATGGGTTTGAGCCCTGGTCCGGGAAGATCCCACATGCGGAGCAACTAAGCCCGTGAGCCACAACTACTGAGCCCGTGTGCCACAACTACTGAAGCCCGCGTGCCTAGAGCCTATGCTCCGCAACTCAACAAAGAGTAGCCCCTGCTCGACGCAACTGAGAAAGCCTGCTCGCAGCAACGAAGACCCAACGCAGCCATAAATAAATATGATTGAATGATGAATGAATGAATGAATAAATAAATAAATAACCTTCTTTTTTAAAAAGCCCTTATAGTCACTATTTACAATATATATACTTCTCCTAATATTTTTGTATATCTTAATAAGTAGATGACTTTTAAATCACATATATGAGCTGTTTAGCAATTTGCTGTTAACAACACATGTGGGACTTTGTTCTGTTTGAATACATTTATTGGACTGGCCAAAAAGATCATTCAGATTTTTCTGTACCATGTTATGGAAAACCCCAAACGAACTTTTTAGCCAACCCAATGCAATTACCTAGTTTTAAACTACCAAGTATGGGTCCACCATAATTTAGTCTTTTCTTTTTATTTATTTATTTTTAAACAAATTTTCCTCCAAAAGTATCTCAATTAGGGTTATATTGAATTTGGGTTTATTTAGTGAGAATTGGTTTCATTCAGTTTTTTTTTTTTTTTTTTTTTTGGTACGTGGGCCTCTCACTGCTGTGGCCTCTCCCGTTTGCGGAGCACAGGCTCCGGACGCGCATGCTCAGCAGCCATGGCTTACGGGCCCAGCCGCTCCGTGGCACGTGGGATCCTCCTAGACCGGAGCACGAACCCGTGTCCCCTGCATCGGCAGGCGGACTCTCAACCACTGCGCCACCAGGGAAGCCCTCATTCACATTTTTATTGAGCAGTTTTGTGTGCCTGGTAGTGTACCAGGACTGAGGGATTCAGGAAGTTTATATTCTAATGGAGAAAGAAGGGGAAAATGAACATGTAAACAGATAATTTATATGTATTTCCTTTAGTCCAACTGTTTCTTCTTAGTTGTGAAAAATTGAGATCTAGAGAAGTTAGGTCAAATGCTTAAGGTCCCTCAGCTAGTTAGTAGCCAAGTTTGGGCTAGATCTCTGGTCTCCAGACTGCATTTATTATACATATCTGCCTTGGTGTACTGTTTGATTTAATAAACCAAAATACTTAAAGCATTACTGGTACTACATAAGTTGCTCTGGGCTGTGTCTAAGTAAAACTTCCTTAAGGAGAGATACGACCTTTGGAATATGCCTAGAAAAAATGTGCCTTGTAGAGACATATTTCATGTAGAGGAAATGTAAATAATTCCAAGTAGCACAGATGAGAACAATAGGATTTAGATAGTATTATAAAAATTATTGTGGAAAATTACATGATTAAATGATGGCATGATACTAAGGGGACAAAGGTGTGAATGAAGGTTAAATCATGTGGTGGAATCTGGAGGTTGGACAGACAGTGAGGGATACTGAAAAACGCTCACTAATTGGAAGAGAGGGCAGCTGATTCCTACATTATTTTAGCATCAAGCGTCTCCTGTGTACTCTTAGTATTTGGACGTGCCCCTTGGGACCCAACAGAAAGCACTCTGTTTTCCTAGGTAGAAACAAGCAATGGAAACAGATGGCATTTGGGTAGGAGATGAGGAAGGAGTAAGTGCACTGGCTGGATGAGGGGCACGCATGCGCTCTAAGAAGAGAAGATAGCGTT